GAGAAAACCCTTATAGATTCATGGTTGGGGGTAGGGGGTGTTAATAGATATTTTGAACTGGTTTATGAGGTAATATGGTAGCTTTCACCTAAAGTAGAAGGCAGCCCAGGAACCAGTAAGATGATAATATAGGAGAGGAACTGTTGAAGTTCTTTATACTCTTGGTACGGATGCCGTCTGCTCCACACTTGGGACTCATGTTTAGATGTCTTTTAGGAAACTAAAGTCCTGCACTTATGAGAAGTTGGGAAAAACATAAGTTACTACCTGAGCTCTGGCAGTAGTTTCCTTGCATCTCCCAATCCAAACTCCAAAAGCTGGAAATTATACTCTAATGATTGTCTCTTTCTAATAGAATTCCCCCCATATAGGTAACAGCTGAAAATCTGAACTGTGGATTGTTTTGAGGGTGAGGAGGCACTAACTGGGTTTTCTGGTGTCTGGGGCTCTCTACCTGAAAGACCATAAACTCACGCCTGAGCTCATTGGAGATGACTGGGACTGCCTGACAGTGTAGCCAATATGCTTGGGAGAAAATGAGTTCAGAGCCCAAAATAACAAGGCATTTATCTCACAAAGAAACAACATATCTCAATTACCCATCCCAGCATAAACAGAACAGAGACCCAAGAACTTTTTAATTAGCTAATTAATATATTAAAGGAAATTAAAAAATATATTAGCAATATGAAATAAAAACAAGAAAACATTTTTAAAAGCAGGCAAAAATAATAATTAGGAAAAATAAAAAATGCAATAGATGGGATAAAAATAGAATGGATACAGATAAGGAAAAAAAATTTAAGCTTGAAAGATCAGAATGAGGAAGTCTTCCAATATGAAGAAAAGGACAAGAAAAATTTTTAAATATGAAATATGTGGGTGGAGAATAGCTCAATGATAGAGTGCATGCCTACCATGCACCAGGTCCTGGGTGTAATCCCCAGTACTTCCATTAAAAAAACTTAAAAGTTAAAATATGAAAAGCTGAGAGATATAAATGATAAAATTAGAATTTCCAGTATCCATACAACAGGAGTCTTAGAAAAAAAGTAAGAAGAAATAAGAAAAAGAGGCAATAATTGAAGGGAAAAAAATCCCCAAAATATTGAAAAGGTGTGGATTACCAATAAAGAAACCCATACTTAGGTGCTTTATAGTGAAACTTCAAAATATCAACATAAAAAGAAAATTAAAACTTCCAGAGTATAGTAAACAAGCCCATAAAGGAGACAAAATGAAATAATAAAAAATAACTAATCCAGGAAAAGGCAGGAAAGTAAGAAAAGGGGGAAAATGAATAGATGGGAAAAATAGAAAATAAATAGCAAGGTGGGACATTTAAATTCATTGGCATCAATAATCACAGTGTATGTAAATAGTCTAAACAGCCCAGTCAAAATGCAGAGGTTGTCAGAATGGATAAAAAGCAAAACCTCACTATATTTTATATACAAGAAACTCATTTTAAATAATAAGACACAAATAGGTTGAAAGTAAAAGATTTTTAAAAAGTAAAAGGCTAGAATAAGATGTACTAGGCTGATAGTGGTCACAAGAAAGCTGGAGTAGTTATTTTAATATCAACAAAAACTTCAGAGCAGAGAGTATTATCAGAGATAAAGTTTGTTTTATAATAAAGGGATCAATCCTAAACAGCTATGCATCTAATAACAGAACTCCAAAATACATGAACCAAAACTAAGAGAACTGAAAAGAGAAAAGAATAATCCACAATTATAGTCAGAGATTTCAAAATCTCTCTCTCAATGATTGAGATAATAAGTAGACAGAAAATCTGTACAATATAGATTTAAACATTATCAAACAACTTGACCTAATTGATATTTATAGAATACTTTGCCAAAATATAACAGAATGCTATTTTTAAGTACATATAGAAAAATTCACAAAATAGTTCATTTTCTGAGATACAAAACTAATCTCAATACATTTAAAATATTCTTTATGCAAAGCAGGCTATCTAATGAAATTGAAATTAAATTTGAAGTTAATAACAAAAACTTACCTAAAAAATCATTAAATATTTGGAGACTAAGAAACATATATGTAAATAACCCATAAGATATAGAAGAAATAACAAAATCCATATCTATATATAATCTATTTACTAGCAATACATAATTAGAAGTTGAATTTTTTAAAAACAGTATTAAATATTTAGAGATAAATTTAATAAAATATGTTCAAGACTTATATAGCAAAAACTACAATATTCCATTGAGAGAATTTTTTTTTAATCTAAATAAATGGAGAGCTATATCACGTTCTTTGATGGAAAGACTGAATACAGATAAGTTGTTAATTCTCTCCAGATTCATGGATAGAGTCGACGTAATCCCAATCAAAATCCCAAAAGAAATAGAAAAGTTAATTCTAAAATGTAAAGGGAAGTGCAAAAAACATAATGACAAAGATTTATTTAATTTACTAAGAAGATATACCAGTTTTAAACACATATATACCAAATAAAATATCTTCAAAATATATAAAGCAAAAATTGATAGACTAGAGAAAGACATTGATGAAATCACTATATAATGGGAGATTTCTGACATATTCCTTTAAATTATTGAAAAGCCAGGAAAAGCTTGATCTAATCTTATATATAATGTGTGTATATGTGTATATACATACACATATGTATGAATGAGAAAAACAGAAAGATTTGTATCCAAAAATAGGAGAATATATATTTTCTACACATTTATACACAGACATTTATAAGAATTTTCAGGTATCATGCCATATAGAAAACCTCCACATATTTTAAGAAATAAGATCATTACTGTGTTGGTATACATTACGAAAATACAAAGGGAAGATACAATATGGTATTTCCCCAAATCACTCAATTACAGAATTCTTGCCTTTCTCCTGCACCTTTTTTCACTTCATGGAGCGTATACCCAGGGACATTCATTTTTAAAGAATTTTTAGTCCCCCCTATAAGTATTTATTCTTGCTTATTTGGAGGCTGCTTTCTTGATCTGTTGGCTTTTATGCTACAGGCTTTGGAAGCTTGCAAAGATGCTGGTTTGGTGAAATCCCTTGGAGTATCCAATTTTAACCGCAGGCAGCTGGAGCTCATCCTGAACAAACCAGGACTGAAGTATAAGCCAGTCAGCAACCAGGTACAGCTTGAGCAGGGGAGGGAGGTGAGGGGAAGTGGAGGTTTGGGGAGTGTGGGATAATCCATTACTTAACAGAAAGAAATCTGTACTAGGAGTCAGAAAGTCTTGTGGTCACTCTACGTATATCTTACCATTAGACTCTGGGCAAGTCAATTTATGTCTCTTAAGAAAAAAGAACTGAAAGTTCAAATCCAGGCAAAAGTAACCCCAAAAAATTTTTGAAGAAAAATAATGAGCGGGAACAAAACTTACCAGATATTGACACACAGAGAGTATTTAAAATAATGCAAGATTAGTACAAGAACCAACATACAAAAAAATAGAAAATAAGAAATGTCTTAGAAATAGCCCCAAGTAAAATAAAAACTTAATGTAAAATAAAATGGCACAAACTAATGACAAAGGGTTTGATTTTTCAGTAAATAGTGTGGGGAAAATTGATAGTCAAATATAGACCTTTCCCTCATATCATACTCCAAAATGTCCTTTTAATCAGGAGTTCAAGAAAAAACAGGAAATTATTTGTGAACACTACAGAAAAATTTTAGTTTTCTTGAGCTGTAGATAGAAAAGGAAGCCATGGGAAAATTACAAAGATAACCAACACATGTAATGGTGTAAGAATGTTAAACCCTAAAAATATTAGAAACAAAAAGCAAACAAAAATAGAGAATTATATATTTTAAAAATATAACAGAAAAGGGGGATCATATCCTTATTAATTAAAAGCCTAATAAAAATCAATGAGAAAAAATACTCAGTTTCAACAGAAAAATGGGAAAAAGAAATGAGCAGAAATTCACAGGAGATAAATTGCAAGGTTGGTAAACATGAAGAATGTTCAGCTGCACTAGTAATTATGAAATTTAAGTGTAATTTTGTATTGTGTATCAAATTAGCAAAGCTTTTGTTTTATTTTTTAGTATAATGTTTTATGAAAGCAAGTGGTGGAGTGCTGGCAAATGCAGATTGGTTCAACCTTACTGAAAAGCAATTTTGCAATAAGTATTAAGAGTCTTAAAAAATGTTCAATCTTCTATTTTTAGGAATCTATCCTTGTGAAAAAAATCAGAATGCCCATGTGTGTGTTTGTCACAGTGCTGTTTATAATGGCAAAAAAGGGGGGGCAACATAAATATGAAAAATTAGGGAAGTGCTTAAATAAACTTTAAAACATTCATAATATGTGAAATCTTAACAAAAGATGTTCTTAAATCACTTTTGAGGAAAAGAGAAATGGCCAGGATATTAAATGGAATGGCCAGGATACAAAAGGTAACATGGTGTGAAAGTGATTATATTATTTAAAAAGTGCAAATATTGGAAAGAAATAAATCAAAATACTAACTCTGTTTATCTCTGGCTGTGAATTTTACAAGTAAATTCTGTTTTCTTTTTATGCTTTACTGTATTTTTCAAGTCTTCTGCAGCAAGCTTATATTACTTTTATAATCACAACAAAATACTATTCTCTACCTTGTTAGATAGGGATTGTGATACCCTCTTCCCCCTACTTCATAAAACATTAAGAGGCTACACTAAAAAATGCTCTTGGATCTGGTAAATATTCACATATTGGGATTATGGTGGACTTGTTTGTTGAATTCATTGTTTTTAGAAAGTCGAAAGAGTCTGATACAACTTTATAACAGAAGAAATGAATCATTACCTATATCATGACAACAGCCCACAGCTAAAACAGAAGTGTTGCTCTATTAGACACACAGCTTCCGAATTGACACCTCAGCTAGCAACATACCATATGCGCTCAGGAACAGAGCACAACAACCTTTGCCTTCCTAATTGATCTCAATCCATCCCTTTATTCCTAAGTATAGGGATTCTTAAGTATCTCTCACCAGCATATCTCTAACATCTCCTTCCTGCACACCTAAGAAGAATATTTTGTTATAAAAATGTTGAAATGACAAACTGGTTTCTTACAAATGTACAGCAACAGATGGTGATTTTTAAAAATTGAAGTGTAGTCAATTTATAATGTGTTAATTTCTGGTGTACAGCATAGTACTTCAGTTGTACATATATATTCCTTTTTATATTATTTTTCATTATAGGCTATTATAAGGTATTAAATATTTTTCCCTGTGCTATATAGTAGGAC